AAAAGATACCATACATTCAGTGTAACATTGTGGAGCATGCATATGAGCTTGGAAGGAAGATTCGGGTAGCTTGGTATGAAATCAGTCTGCTTCTGCATTGAAGCGGCGACCTAAGAAATAGAAAGAAACAACAGCCGCATGAAATTTCCATTCAGAGACTCATTCTTGATCAGCCATGAATGATACCAAACTTTATCGAACAACATACTTGCTCACTGTGACCTTGAGGGAAGTAAACAACAAGACTTCCTGCTGGAGGCAAGGAAATCAGTGGCCCAGCACAAGCGTGCCATAGTTCTGAGTTTATATTTCTCCTTTCTCCTGCATTCACACAACATCAAAGCTGTGATTACTTCAAATCTCTGAGATCTTCATTCAGTTACTATTATCAAACCAACAAGATGAGAGAGAATTGCTCTAAATCAACTTTCAAACCAATACAATAGTAACTTAGCTTACTTCTAAAGCTAGAAAATGAGCGAAATCAACTCAATTCAGGTTCTCAAATCCAGCAATTCTGAAGAAATGTGTGACCTCTACTTACAACTGAATCTATTCAAATCCAGCAATGAATTTCTTCTACAAAAGGAGAAACACACAAACCTTCAACAGGATTAGGAGAAACTCCATTTGATGAAGGAGCTTTCATGATCACTGAACTTTACTTTCTCTGAAGAATAAACCCAATTAAGAATCTGAATCTGAGCTTATACAAAGCTAAGCTCTTTGCGTGAGAGCTTCATCTTCAGCTTAGACCCAAAAGCCCTAAACTTTCACTCCACCACAAAGGAAAGGAAACAAGTTCTTTCCTAGCTTTTCTAGCTCGAGTCTTCAACAATCCAAGTTACAGCAGAAAGAAAGAATCGTTAATCAGAAATGAGGAACTCCAAGATCTCTGCTTTTTATCTCCGACAGAGCCGCCAATTTCTCGGAAATTTTAAGTATCTCAAAGAGATCAAAAACCACGACTTTTCACACGCGGAATCTCCGGAGAGACAAATAAAGCATACGACCTTAAAAAAGATTCCGTTTTTAACGAAGCTCTTCAACTAAAGTCATATAATTCACAAAACCCAGAAACCAAAAACCACAAAGTTACTTGATTTAGCTGGCTCTTCTTTGCTTTCCTTTCTTGGGGAATCAAAGAGACAGGTTTCTATAAAAAGAAATCTGGATAAAAGAATCGAAAGAGAAAAACAAAACTAAGGAAGACGAAAGAGAATCGAAGGGCAGGAGATTAAGACAGAGAGAGAGCTCAAACGTGAGAGAAAGAGCATCAGAGTTGTCGGAAAGGGATGATCAGCGACCAGGACAACTACCAAAAGGTCTGCTAAAAGCACAGGAACAGCTTTTTCTTCTTCCTCTCCTCTTTTTTCCTTCTCATTTTCTTGGGATATTTAATTTTTATATATTTATATTTAATAATGCTCATGAAGCCGACATATTCACTAGCAAACTGGCCACGATATAATTTCTTAATATTATTGCCCTCTAAAAATTTAACTTTGACACAAATTTTTTTTTTTTTTTATCTCTGATAAGTGATAAGTGAAAGTTAATTTGATAAGTTTTTTTTCATTAAGGTTTATTATTGTTGTGCCATTTATTGTAATACTTGATTAAGAATGACAAAGAATTTTAGGGGATGTAATGAGGAAAAAAAAAAAACTAAGTTGACTAGCTAGTTTTTTTTTTTACCAAAGTGCATAGATATATGTTTGGAAATTTCTTTTGTAGCTAACTATATTTAATTCAGATACATTTTAGGATTAATAATTCATGAGGAAATTATTTTCTGATTTTCGTTATATTGCAAATTGCTAAAACAATTATGGAGTATTACATGTATCATGTATGGAACTTAAATTTTTAGTAATGAATTTTATAATCGATATTTTTAGTTAGGATTAGGGTTCTAAGTAATAGTTTATATGATGTTTAAGTTATAAATAAGTCAACATTTAGGCATATGCTTATATATAGAAAGTATTTAGAAACTTTGATAACAAACAAATCTAACTAAATATAATTGGATAACATTAATTATTATTTTTGTTTTCGGTTACATTATCATCAGAGATAATTGATCTTATTTTATTGTAAATAATGATTAATTCACATAAAAAAAAAGATATTGTAGCGATATGTTTTTTTTTCCTATAATCGTTAAAATGTCTACCCAAAAAAACAAACGGTGATATATGATCCTAAACATATATATTCGAAACCGTATAAACATAAATGTCATTGTACAAATTACAAACTATTTGGTTAATTTAAGGTCACATAACAAGTTTTACCTACCAAAGACTAAACCTCCATATTGACCACTGACCACTGTAAACCCTTTGAATGACCCCACAACAAGCAGAGTTAAGAAAACAGTAACCTCTTTGTTAGTTTAGGTTCGATCCAAAACTTATTTGGCAAGAATGCTAAAAATTCTATATACAAATTTAAGTGAAGGTAAAATGTATGGAATGAATGGATGTCAATTCAAATAAGTGGCAGCGAGTCGCGACATGATGTCCCTGAGCAATAAATGCGTGAAGACAGACGTTTGGAGATTGGATGAATATAATAAGACCTAATTATGAAGTTGTGGATTTTGAGGCCTATAGTATTATTATTTTTTATTCTGTTAATAATTATATATTCTCTTCTAACAAAAGTAATATATGACTGAAATTTATTATGAACTCCGAACTATGACTTCATGCATGTATTTAAGTTGGAATGTTAGCAGACTCCAAGATTCTAGACCGTGTTCAGTACCAAAGAGAGCAAGAAGAGCGTGACGCGTTTAGAAACTGTTCTGTGTCCAAGATCTATATGATGTCCGCAGTAGAAATTGGGAAATGAACAAGATTAACTCATATACTGTGCTAAAGATATTTCCATAATCGATATCACATCAACGTATTTTAGCCGATTTAATGAATTCGACAGTTGGTGTTGTTGACATTATATGAATATTTAACCACAAAATACACCACTTGAGTTGGATGGATTATCAGAGAGCAACGAGGAAGTTTCGTTACGATTCCGTGATTTTCTCGACTTCACTATATCACCTGTCCTGATATGCAGGATTTGTTATTTTTCTATGAAAGATAGAGTTGTGGATTAATCATCTACTGATCCACAGGTTCAAATCTTTACCTTTTGTGGGTTTATATATGCTCTTTATTTGTCGAATATTTGTACTTCTTGATAAGTTTATTTTCTTTTCATTATTATTGGAAACAAAAAAATTGACGAAAAAAGAATAAACAATAAAGAAGGGCCTCTCACGGCAAATCCCACCTGACGTGGTCACACTCCCACCCCATTTTACATTGGCTCTAATTGTTGTTTGGTCACATGAGCTGGTTTGCGACATCTCTTTCGCCGTGGACCTGGATTAGTCAAATCTATTTAAAGAAAATACATTTTACAACTTCCTTGAAATTTAAAGAAAACATTAAAAAAAAAAAACTAATTTAAAGAAAACATTGCTTTCAAGTTTCAACTATCTAACTACTTTCAGAAATATACAAAAATTTGTCTAATTTTCAGAAATATACGCAAACAACATATTTATTTATATTCAAACTGATCACTGTGTTTTGTATATGTAGTAACAAAATTAGGAACGTCGTTAACTATTTAAAGAAGCACAAAAACAAAAAGTCTTAAATGATTGTACATGCATGTGACCGTTTATTTAAAAATTACTTTTAAGAAATGTTCATTAGATGCATTGCGTAGGGGTTTTCTTTTGATAATAAACCAATGTTTCTCTTTGTTTTTGTTAGAAAAAAATTCGTCAACTGGAAAGTGTAAAATTTACTGTAAAATAGAAAAGGATGATAACTATTAACTTTAGATAGAAAAAAAATTTGGTCGTTTATTTTCTAAGGCCCACAATTATCGTGTATATATTTGAAAATAACTAAATAATTGGTATTTTTTTCTGTGGATTTTTCTGTCATATATATGATACCAACATGGGTGAATTTGGAAATGAAACATTCAAGATATTTGTTGGGAATTTGAGTAAATTATCAAAGGAGTAAACTAAGATGTTAATGAACAAGCATCAGCTGGAATGATTCAAGGGACCCCAAAATTTAAAGTACATATTCTTTTATTGATATCAATTGTAAAAGTCAGTACAAAATGCTGAATATAATTGGATAGGAAAATGAATATGTACAATAGTCAGCTAGTGAATTCTTAGACAAAAAATGTCGACCCTTCTCTCATGCCTTTTTAGCATTTTATAGGACGTTCATCTTACACCGGATCCAAAATCTCTACTGGCCAGTCTCACGCCGCAAGCTTCCTCGCGGCTCTGGATCTTGATCGGAGCCATTTTATTTGTGATCCCGGACTTATCAATAGCCTTAAGGTCATACGCAATGGCGTACTCGATACACAGGTGTAAGTAATAAAATAACATGTTTTATTGCAAAAGTTGTCTGAGAATCGAAATAAGGGTGTGAACTTACACCCCGGTTGTAAGTCCCACGTGACAAAATCTATCTCTCACTCTCTCCTCTCTCTTTCTCCACTAATAACCAAATTTCTCTCTCTCTTAAAAAAAAATAATAATAAATATATTATCAACATCTCTTTAAAAGATGTTGCACTGCGTATGCTCTAACAAGATGATGCTATGTCGATGTTGGGCTTTCTTGCTGGGCCTGGCTTCTCATGAGCTTTGGTCAAACATTTATCTATAGTTTATGCCTTTATCTGGTATGCTCATGCGTTATAGTCGCTGAGATATCGAGTTTCAGTTTCATATCAAGACAAAATCATATGACGTACGAGAGTTACAAGTCTATCTTTCAATCGAATCTCAACGGATCCATAATACCTTATAGTGACATAGAGGATAAAATAACATTTATAGTGACATAGAGGATAAAATAACATTTATAGTGACATAGAGGATAAAATAACATTTATTTAATATTCCATAATCAGAACTACGAAAAAGGAAATTGTCTAATTTCAAAATTCATTTTCTATTTTAGTAGAGATAATCTCACAATTAAAACACACGAATAAAAAAACCAACACACAACCACGACCGTCCATTAAACGATCTAGTGCATTAACATCAAAGATGTACGTCGTGGGGTTTGCCACGTGTCTCATCTAGCTGGTTGATCATGTAAAGCGCGTTGCTCGTAACCCTGGCCACCTTCGTCATCCACTGTTTCACCTCCGTTTTGATATCTCCGTCGATCTCTTCAAACCCATCGAGACACGTGTCGTCATCGGTAAGCGCCGCGCTAGCCCACGTCTGTGCATTGCTCATCTGCCACCGGAACTCTTTAGACGAACCGCCAGAGATACGGAGGTGCTTCAAAACGCCGAGGGTGCGGCTTAACTCGTCCACCGAGTCTCCAATCATCTCCACACAGTCCACAAGCGCCGCTTTCTCTTGCCTCTTCTTCCCCACCGAGTCTCGAACCACCGTGAGTTTCTTCGCGGCGCTTTGAGCGTGGGCGAGGCTGATTTTGACGGCGGCTTGAGCTAGGTCACGGCGATTGGTGATGGTTGGACCGGAGTAAGATGAAAGAGTACGAACGCATAGTGATGGGTAGCTCGCGTGTTCGCAGGAGGAATGAACGATATCTTTTGCAGCATTATGACGACCGTGTACGGTGGTAGCGGTGACAATGATGGCGAAAACAATAGCGAGAAGGAAGAGCTTGTGTGGAGGAGCCATTCTGTCTCGGCTTAGAGTGAGAGACCAAATTAGGGTTATGTCTGTAAATGAAAAGGAGAGTGGTGGTGGGTAAGAATTTAAAGTCGTAGGTCCGTGGAACATTACTTAATTACCCTCAGATATTTCCTTTGTTTACGTGTTTTACGTGCAATAAGATAGGGGTAGGAAGGTGAATGTAGCACCTCTTGATTATGGGGGAAATCTGTAAAATTAAATGCACCGCATATTACAGAACAGAGAAAGAGAATAGCGAATCCAGCAAAAATGTAAATAATATTTATTTGTTTTCTTCACTAAAATTATATGTAAGTATACGATACGAAAAAGAACAAAATTTGTGGAATTATTGGCGGACTGGTCACCACTCACCAGTGCCCAATTATTTTTTCTAGGCCTGGGCACTCGGTTTAATCGGTTTAATCGGTTCGGTTTAATCGGTTTTTCGGGTTGTTCGGATTTTTAAAATTCTGCCGAATTGAACCGAATATAAATTCGGTTCGGGTCGGTTCGGTTCTCGGTTTTTTCGGTTCGGTTATAAGGTCTAAAATCAATTCCGAACTAAACCGAATTTATTTCTAATTCGGTTAATTTGAACCGAATTAGACCAAAATTAAAATTATTGGGCTCAATTATAAATTTATACACTTACAAACCAACAAAAATAGTGGGCCAAACCTAATTAAACTCAAGCCCAAGTTAAATAACAAATCCTAAGCCCATCTAAATTTAGGGTTTTCGACCAAGTGTGAAGTTCGACGACGGTGACGCCGTTCAATCCCGCGTCTCACTTCAGAGGCAAATGGAGAACAAGTCGCGGCTTGACTAGATCTGTATTTCCCACATAGTGCAGATGTCAACTTGACGAGATCTGTTAGGCACCCAACGGCAACTCGACGAGATATGTTGGCCACCCACAACTAAGAACAACAGTTCAGGTCTTAAAACGACGAAAATAGAAAAGATTAATGAAGAATAAATCGATCTTCACAAGTTTAGGACTTACCACAATAACAACAATGACGAAAAATAGAGAGGATGGATCAATGTTAGAGAAAGTTGATGTCGGGCGAGAGAGATTCGATGTCGCGGCGGAAAGAAAAAATCAAAAAATGGATCGATGCCATAGAGTGCCGATCTCACAGCGGTGAAAAAGAACAGGATATGAGAACGAAGAAGAGAAGAAGATCAAAGAATGATCTTGAGGAGGAGAAATTAAGACTAGAAAAGAAAGGAGACGGCATAAAGTGATATAGATCTAGGGTTTGTTCGTTTTTATAGGGTGTGCCTCTAAACCGAGAAAACCGATCGGTTATGCCTCGCCGAACCGAACCGAACCGTAACCCGAATCTCAAAATTAATTTGGCCGATCGGTTTACCTCTCCTTTTATGCTTGGTGCCGAAAACCGAATGTTTCGGGTTACTCGGTTCGGTTTTTTCGGGTTAAACCGTTTGCCCAGGCCTAATTTTTTCAAAGAGGTTTCAGAAGTTTGGGTCCACGTTTGGTTATGAAGTGACAAAAAAGGTTTCAGAGACAAAATCTTTATCTGCCATTAAATGGCTGCCATTTCTTTTGCTCGACTCTTGTTATCATTTGAGGGTAAATTCTACATTACAATAGTTACATGCCATTAAAAAAACGAGTAAAACTTAATCAAAATTCATATTCTGATATTCAATTTGAAAACAAACAGCATATTTGATTGATCAAGTTTCCGTTGGTAAATTACTAAATCAAAAAACACCAAACTGTTTTATCAAAAAAAAATAACACCAAACTATGCTAAAGTTTTGACCTCTGATAAAGTTAATGATGCTTTCCTAGAAGGACCCACTTAATAGAAAATGTCACATCTTCGTATGTTTATTTGTTCCGGAGATCCAATTAAACATGATCAGGTCCAATGTGTGGAATAACTAATCTGAAAGACTGAAAAGTACATTTGATCATGGTCTTAGCAACCTCTTTGATTTGCGCAATACAAGGTTAACAGTAACGGAGACCAATTTCTTCACCATATCATGTTAAGGACCATGTGATGATCGAAATATCCTAATAACTTCAATGACATAGAATTTTTTTTTAAAAAAACTTCAATGATCATCAAAATCTTTACTTAAGGTTTGTGTTCATATTTTAAAGGTAAATATTGAAATTTATCCCACAAACATCTCAATGACTTCACTTGCAACTTGCATCAAAGTCTACATTTATACATGTTTTTAATTTATTTTTATATACAAATCTTGATGGTGTGCGTTAATGCAAATTTCAGGTTTTAAAATATGATTTATATTGTTTATTAGGATTTAAAATATGTTCAATATTTTCATCTTTACATTGCAGTAACTAGCATTTGTAAAAAGTAATATTTAATCGATATTTTTTTTTTATAGAAAAATTGTTTCCAAGAAGAATCCGAAAAGACCAGACTAAAAAAAAGTACGTGGATTTCGCTGGTTTCACTTTTCAGGCTGGGGCTGGAGCAACATGAACAAATACATGCCTATAGGCTACAGTCAAGTTGTAAATGGGCCTAACAGGTAAACGTACTTTGTTACTGTGCTCAAATATTTGACCCCTAATATCACGAATTCATTGCAATGGAAATGTTACAAAAGTTCGACTAGAAAAATTAATGCTAGGATTCAACAACAATTGATATTGATTTTCTTCTTGTTCAAGTGTTCCTTCCTGGTCTTTGTGTGAAAATTATTTACAAATTACAACTTAATCAACCAAAAAATACACTTTAAACCAAGAAAGTTTCTCAAGATTAAAAACTTCAAAGTTTCCGAAATAGGATTATCCTCTAATTTAGACACCTGCCGCCGTTACTAGCTCTGGTGTCATCCCATAACCTCACAACATTTCCGTTTATCACCGTTAAATCCACGTAACGATACCAACCGTCATCACCATTTCTCATCCTCACCACTCTTTCCCATTTCTCCCACCACTCACCGCCACAATTACCCAAACCTCCTCCGTAGCTAACGGCCGTTAACTCTCCGTCAACACACCTCTCACCGTCAACATCAACGTCTACCTCATAGTACATCGTCAACTTCCCTTTGGTCACTCCGTCATCATACATTAACGGCTCCGTTTTTGTAACCGTTTCCTTCACTCTAGCGCCAACCGTTTCTTCAACCGGACCGGTTATTGATTGCGGCGCGTAAACCTCCGTTCTCGTAACCGTTTCCTTCACTCTAGCAACCGTTTCTTTAACCGGACCGGTTATTGATTTCGGTTCGAGACGACCGGATTCGTTTTCAGAACCAGTTAATTCCTCTACCAAGACACATGCATGGCCGTCTCCGACTCCGATGGTGGTGACTCTGATCCTCCAGAAGCTGACGGCGGCGGTCACGACGGCGATCCATGTCCAGACGTTGTTGACGACGGCGAAAACACCGAAGCTAGCGTATTCAAAAGCCAACGCCTCTAATGGAGATTCCAAGGTCGACATCGATCACTTTCTTGAAATGTTTGTGATTTGCAAAGAGGAGAACGATTCGGTTGGGTTATATAAAAGGAGAGAAGGGCGAGATGGAATCTAGGCCGTTGGATGAAGAGCAAGTTGAGTGAAGGAAGCTAAGCCGTTGGATGATGTGCAAGTGGAAGTGTATGTGTATGAATATTTTGGTAGATGCTGAGAATCGAGAGCGAAAGATGCCTTTGTCTTGAAGGAAGATGCGCATAGCCCAAAGAGTTATTCCTCTATCGATTTAATAATAGAAAACACTATAATAAACTAATAGACTTTCAATACGACTCTTTTTTTGTGTGCTTACGTTTCGATTGTGTGCATGACCGATGCAACATTTACTAGGTGGAGGATGTTCCGTGTTCGTGCATCACTAAATTTAGATAATTGTATTATGGATTTGATTTTTGAATATTATCAAAAGAAATTGAGTGAAATAAGTGGTGGACAATCGCTTATTAGTGTAAACGTGGGTATATTTTTTTTTAGTTAGAATACAACTACATAGGAATACAATGACCAAATTACACTCCCTTTCACTCAATGCAATGACCTTGGCTTAAATAGGTACAGTGGAAAATCAGAAATATAATGTATCAACAATGTACAGTGAAAAAACAGAAAATGGTATAAAATTTAACTTGTACCCAAAAAAAAAAAATTACACTCACGAAGACGGAAGAACCCTTCGGTTTTTCTTTGTCTTTTTTTTTTTAATATTATAATTAGGATACAATTTTAGATGAAAATAGATATAGTCCATGGACTAAAAACAAATAATATATACAACCAAAAACCATATTAATTTTAAAATGAAAACCCCTAACATTATATTTAGGATAAAAAACATAATAATTATATAAAATCAAAAATAAAAATTGATAAACCAAAACATACATTGACGTACTTTCAATACTAAACTAAAAGAGTCATATTTATATTAAAAATATACATAGGACTCTTATAGACAAACCATTTCAGCCCATCAGACTGTTCCTTATATAAGTTAATATTACGGCCCATTTAGACAGATCTTGTCTAATTCAAAAAATTAATTATGAGAAACTTAAGAATCAAAAACAATACACATGTGCGAAGATTTTGTCAAATCCATCCATGATCCACATCAAAATCTATACACTAGTACAATCCACAATTATAAATCTTTTGTTTAGAATAAAAAATCCATCCGATTATAAGTTTTTGACATAACTCATCTTATTTTAAAAGTTAATCATTGTATCACTAAATATGGCATTGATTGGTAACCACTTTACAAAGCGGTACAAAGCGTTACAAAATATACAGTTTTGACAGTTACCAATCACAAAAGCTTTACCAGAAGCGTTACTAAAAATTTTACTCTCAGCTTTCTCGTACAGCTCGTTCGTACAGTTTTGCACTATTCCGGAAAAGCTAACAGCTCCAGCTAACAGCTTTTGGTTACCAATCGGATCCTATATCTTATATAAAAAGAATAAGATCACATAATAAAAAACTTTAACAAGGAAGGCACGGATCGGGTGTTATTTCATAATAAAGTAAGAGTAAAAGGGTTAAATTGAAAATAAAGTAACAATCGGTATCGAGAAGAACGTGAGAAAATAAAACAGAAGAACCTGAAAAGGCGAAAGTGACGGGAAAGCCAACAAACAAATCTCTTTTTTTTTTTCCCTTCTTTCTGTGCGAGAGGGGTAGAATCAAAATGAAGAAACTCAAAACTATAAAATCCAAATAAAGCCTAATCCCTAATTTCTCTCATCTCCCAAAATTCGCTTCTCTATTCGTTTTTTTACCCCCACTAAATATTTAGATTCTCTCTCGATTTTTTTTTTTAGTTTCAGTACTTAGAAAATTGTTTCTTCCTCTCATATCATCGTTACGTTGAGCTCTGCCAGTATCCGAGAACAGAAAAAACCTAAAAAAAGATCGAAGCGAATCAAAATCAAAGAAATCTTCGGGAGCTCCTTTTTTTTTTTGTTTGCATGGTACTGTTCTTCATCGAGTCTCCATAGCGTAGAAAGCTTCAATTTCGTTTTCCTCTTCAGGTAATTTATAACTTCTGATAATGTAATTGGCACGATTGCGTTTTAATCTCTTTCAGCGATGTGTTTACAATTTCTGAGAACTTTGATTTAGCGGATCTAATCTGGAACTGTGAGCTTCGTGCGTTTGTGGTGGATCGGATTCGCTTTGTATCTGTTGATTTTGCTAGGAAAAGTGAACGAAATTATGTCAAAAACTTGGGGTTTGATGTTCTTGAGATTGATTTGGTTTACCACAGATTAGAATTAGACCCTAATATTTGGGAATCTGAGAAAACATTCTTTGATAATGACGTCTTTGGGATCTGCCTCTGTGTGTATGTGGGTGGGTCCTCTGTTTTGCTTCATGATATTCTTTTCTTTATTTTGGTCAGGACCTAACCTATATAGTCAATAAACTTGGTTAATTGATTTTTAATTCTTTCTCTTTACATAGAGTTGTGTGTAATGTTTATTTCCCTTATTTTGATGCAATTGAGTCAAAAACTAACCGAATAGTTTGTGATATTGTAAATGCAGCTACAAGGGAAGAAGAAGATCATATGTGACATTTGATCTTTCGTTTTTATTAGGCAGATGGATGAAAACAATGCGGCAAAGTTAACCGGCATCAGGCAGATTGTGAGGCTTAAGGAGATTTTGCAGAAATGGCAAACTGTCACGATAGGGCCCAAGTCAGAAGTTCCTCCATTGGCAGCTGGAAAGCAAGCGGTGGCGATGATTTCGCCCGCGATCAACAAGAGGCTATTAGATGTCAAGAACGGTGACTCCGATGAGGAAAACTGCCAAAGCCCTGAGCCGCCTCATGATGTTCCTAAAGGGTATCTTGCGGTTTATGTTGGACCGGAGCTAAGGAGGTTTATCATACCGACAAGCTATCTTAGCCACTCTCTGTTCAAGGTTTTGCTTGAGAAAGCAGAGGAAGAGTTTGGGTTTGATCAGAGCGGCGCCCTCACCATCCCTTGCGAGGTCGAGACTTTCAAGTACTTGCTTAAGTGCATGGAGAACAATCTTAAAGATCTTCATCCTGATGACAACTCTGGTAAGCCCAAAGACTACTCTTATCTAGAGATCATACCATGAGCTCAAATCCTGTTGGCCAGCCAGGCTTAATCAGGGACTGGGTCTAAACCATGAAGAATCGGGGCTAAAAACATGATGGGCTCAAAATGGCCCGGGCCAAGCCCGTTAAGGCTATAATAGCTTCCCTATTTCAATGATCTTAAACCAACCCCATTAACATTCACAAGATTGTTTGATGAGAAATCAAACAAAAAGATTAGTATTTACACTGTTATGCTGATTCTTGAGAAACACTAATGGTTTTGTCTTGTCTTTTGCAGATGGGGATGCAGTAGCAGCAAAGGAAGAGTAAATACAAGTCAAGTGATAAAAAAACTCATTAAAACATTTCTTTTGTTACAATGATTCTTGTTATCCTTTAATCATATACTGATGGAAATTGTCAATTAGGGATGTTTACTTTGGGGTGTAATTGTAAAATCAGATTATCTTTGTGTTTTCCTGGTTTTTCGGCTTTCTTCTCCATTATTTTTCAAGGAGGATTAAAGTTTTTAGGACATGTATGTTAGATGTGAAAGGATTTGGTGGTCAAAGTGATACGAAACAAAAATATAACTTCTTGTACGAAAATATGTACACATTTCTTGTCTCCTTCTCCAATGTTATTATCGAAAACGATTGTTATGTGTATCAATCAAGTAGACTAATGAATAATAATGCAACAATGTGGGGAATATGGATTGTGGTCGAATTGTCAAGAACTGGTCGGATTATTTGGTATATAATAAACTTCTTAATTGAGGTTACATATATCATATATGTAGTCTAATATGTTGTTCAGTCTACTGTTATGGACTTATGGTTAGTGCCAATTTTGTTGCAACGCGATAATGTTCTTATATACTAGAATGCAGGAAAGACACAACTTCACCCTTTTTAAGAGATTATGCCTGTGCTATTGGACCAAAGTCACCAAACACTACTTATTTGCTTTTCCATGTGCTTTCCAATCTCCAAAAAGCACTGTACCCCATACCAAGTCTTGCATTCTTCAGCCACGGTTAACCATGTCTAGTGGTTCGCGATCCAGTCCTTAGAAAAGTTTTTCGTTTCTAGTTTTTCACATAAAGCAAAAATATGTTTAATTGACTTTTTCTTTTCATTCTGCATTTTACCAAACAAAATCATTTTCTTACATGACTTTTGCCAAAAAAAAAAAAAAAAAATTCCTGTAGATTTATTTATTATATATATTTTTCTCATTCATCAAATTTCTTTTGCGACAATGAAAATGCACATCAGTCTAGACTTTATCAAAATTGTTTGTATGTTTATGATAAAAATTAATTTGTACACGAAAATTCAATAAGATATTTTAAATACATAGGGGCCAATCAATCTAAAATATATAAGATGAATTGATTAGGGTTTGAAAATTTGTAACCCGTGATTGATATAGTTCACGAAGTCCGATCAACTCATTTGACCGTCTTAGCTCCGAGTATATGGATAAACATACAACATTGACATTGCAATTGGTTTTATCCCTTTATATAACCACAAAATTATCTCTTTTTTTTTTCTTTTCAAAAATTCATCATTTTAAAAATCAAATTGCAAGTTGCAAGACAATGTTTACACATTCATCAAACATTTATTTATCGGTTGTTATATCGTTTAAACAGAAAAATAGATTATTTCACGAAAGACTATGTAAAGTATACAAAGTATAGAATATACAAACATTAATCGTTATATATATCTTGAACCTAATTAATCATAAAGAGTTAACAAGCGTAGAACTCGACAAGTTCGTGGACCGACTCAGGGCGTGACTCGTCGGCGTCCGCGTTCTCCAGCATCCAAAGCAAATGCTCAAACAAGACAACTTCACATGACACAGAGATGGAACCGTCCTCGCTGCCACATCCACCATCCACCGCCGCTAGCTGCTGGAAGAGCGGGTGCCTCACAACGTCAGAGCTCACGTGATACGGCCTCCGTGTTCGGCCTACGTAGACAGTTTGAAGGTCTTCAGAGGGAAATGCACTCACGGCGGAGGATCGGCCGTGATTGGTTTGAGCTTGTGGTTGGTTAGGCTTGGTGTTGAATGAATTGAGTTTCTTCAAAACTGATTTCAGCTTCATCAGTTTGTTTCCTCCTTTCGCCATTTCCAAGGAGAATTTTGACGTCGGAGATGCAAGCCCGAGTAAGTTTTCCGGTGAGAGAGAGAGAGAGAGGAAGAGAGATATCGATGTCGATGTCGTCGAAGAGAGAAAGGAGAATGGTTCTTATATAACATGCTAAGGCTATATTCGTAATTATATTTATTATTTTTTCAATTAATTTCTTTGTTTTAAAAAGTTTGAGAAGCCTCAGGTACCTTATCAACCGATATTTGAATAGCCAATGATCTAAAAGTTTCCAAGAGTCGGAAGCAATTATTCGAATAGATTATGATTATCAATTAGAAAGATAAAGCTAAAAGTATATATTAAAACATGCAAACCCACATCACTCCAAAAGTTTTTGTTATCTCAGTCAACCAGATACATCATCATTGCACATTGCTCCATAATGATTTTCTTAAACTAAATTTGGCTAACGTTTTAACTACGTTGTTGTAAAGAGCCTTCGAGACTTCGAGTATCTAAAGTCTAAACTACTATTTTTGGATGAATTTAGTATTGGATTTTCATCACACTTTTTTTTGTCATTTCAATCCGGATGATGAGGTAATGACTACCACAAACTACTAGATTATATATGTTCTCATTCAATATATATCTTTATTCAAGGATATTCATCGTATTTATTTTAAAATTTAAATGTATTCTCTTTTTTCAACGAATTTCAATTAGGTATTTAATTATCACGATTTTTCTTCTAAATATTTATGGAGTTCGCATTTTTTTTCTCGTTAAATATCTTGAATGTAGATCATATATATAAATGAAACTGTGAACTTTACTTAATCACTTAATTATAATAAATTAATCCAACAACTAAAGGAGGTTCATGAACTTTAAAAGCGGCTTAATTAGTTCTAATTTGTTAGGTAAGTAATTGGCTAGTATCTAGACTATTATTTATTTTGATTAAAAAATTATCATCTTCTTTTTTCTTACACATAACATGTTACAAAAACATATACTATAAAATTGCAAAATTTGTCATTTTGTTGTGGTTAGATTAGACTCCGACATTATTATTTTGTGCAGTTTATTAGTATTATTTACGTAGTATTGGCGACTACTGTTACAGCATGTGAGTTCCGGAAGATTTGTCTTCTTTTTTTTTACGTAAAATTGTTATCATAATCAGCCGACACAAGAGCATCAAATGTCTTTCTAATCATGTAACCAAAATATTAATATTAAATTGGACCTCCTCCTAGTTTGTCTACTTATATAATTAATGAGAAAGTTTATCAATCTTCTTAAAAGTGCGACATAAAAGATTGGAGGAAGAGTCCAGGTAAAGATAATATAGAAGAAATTATCTCTATCAAACTTCAAAGTAAGAATCAATTAACACTTTTTTAAAACGTAATTTCTTCTAACACTTTGTCTCGTTACATTTAAAAAAAAAAATTAGTTTTTTACCCAAAAAAAAAAATTACGTTAAAAAAAAAATCTTACCTAAAAACCAAAATAACATTGTTTGGGTTTAGCATTTGCGTTTATAATGTATAAACAGTGTTTGATGAAATGACTTAAATAAACTAATTTATGGTATACAGTGATTGAGAATTTGTCATATGGGTCTAGGCCAAGATTGAGTACTCCCATTCTTATATTTCATTTATGATTTACCACTTTTTACTATGAATATTCAGTTTTTATTGTTGTTGTTCTCACAAGGTTCGAACATTATAGTCTGAACTTCACTATGAGATTCATGGTTAAAGAATATGCTTAATGTAATATTACTTTCAAAACATGATTGGCATTTTACTCCCGGTATGTACATATGATTGACACATTCGCATTCTTTTTTACTCTTAAAACGTTTTAATCACTTACAAAGGGTATAGCTATTCAAAATAATGGTTAACCACATTGCTAATATGATACTAGTAATATCACATTAGCATTCATAGTTTACGTTTGCCATTGCAGACATATAATCTAAACATTTGAAAAACCTAAAGCATGGAACTTAAAGTTGATAATATAAGCTTTAGTTCTATATTCAGAATTGCCTTAACCAAAGGGGGAATGCACACACATGTGTGTTCCCCACTATTAAGTGGTGCATAGCCCGTGGACAATAAAACCAAACATTTGTTTTGAGGAAACATTTTAAAACAATACCGAAAGTATAATAAATACTTAATAAACCGTTTTTATTCCCTCTTAGTGTATGTTGGTAAGCGAGGACCCATTTGGATCCTTTGATGTCTTTATTCAAAATAGTATATCATTAAAATATATATTGTCGGAAACCCAAAAATTCTCCCTATATTATTATCCCTTTTTCTTCCAAATTATTATTACCTAATGAGAATCAATTTTATATCACACTTCCATAAACCCATTTATGTTTTAATCACACGGCGGAGAATCGGAGATACATGTAAATGATATGGACTAATCATAAGAAATAACTCTGACACAAGGGTTATAAAAATGAGAGATGCTTCGAATCTGTAATCATCAGAAGAAATAATATCCTCCAATTTCTACCAACTTAGATTATTTATTTGATCAAGTTGTTTCCACACATATATTATATAACATCGACATGAAAATCCGTCTTGTTACAAAGATTGTTGCACTATACATGTGAGAAAATCGACCATCGTCAAACATACCAAAACAGAAAAGACATGTGCAATAAGTTGGTGTGTATTGACTTATGCGTCCCTCTCCACTTGCATGAAATTAATGACACTCTTAAATCTTAATACAATATGTGAATTATTGATTGTACCGCAATTTGGCACAAGATCAGTAACATACTAACAATCGTAGATGAATAGAAGTTGAATGTACCTCTACGGGAGACAGTAGGCGTGAGTTACATGTTATGTGTTTAGGACATTCGACCAAGCAAGAAGTGAAAATGGTCGGAAAGCTAAGGCTTAAATCAAAATATCAACAAGTAGGATTTAAGAGAGCTTGCCTTATATCTCTCCACTGAACCATCAAGTTTATGTTTGATCTTTAAACGCCATTTACAAGTTCCTTTTAGGTGGTAGAGACTCAATATCCCAAGTTCTGTTTCGTTTGAGTCTTTAGCTCCACATCAAGCATCTTTCCATATGGAAGATTTCATAGCCTGCTTAAAAGTTAGGGTTTCTCTATAGGGCTGACTGATATGGAGGGTTAAAATTTGAATAAGAATGAATATAAGACAAATGATTGTTACAACAACCCAAGTAAGTCCAATTGAGAAGCCCATTAAAGATCCATTGTTAGGTTGAAACTTAGTCCAAAGCATAGAAATAAGCCCAACTCTAACAATATTGATATTGTTTTCATGTTTTGTGATCTGATAATAATGGTCACACTTCTTTGCTAATACGGTTGCTGGAATATGTGAAAGACACTTTCAAGATAGAAAAATCGAAATTTTACTGCAATTAGAGGGAAATCTCCCAACAACCAGAATTCAAAGCAATGCCAGAGAGGCAAAGGAAAACAAAGACAAATGATTGACATAAGAAAGAAGCAGAGGAACAGAGGAACACAAAAGCGTTCCCAAATCCGAATGATAATAAGAATCAAAAGGAGATCTCTTGTTTTATTCTTCAAACACCGGAACCACTCTCTTCAAACTCTCTACTGGTTCCAAGTCTTTTCTCTTCTCTTCAATCATCTTGAGCAAGAGGAACAGCCTGAGCCTACAAGACACAAAAGGAACAGTAGAAGATACTGCATTAGAGAAACATACAAATTAAAAGTTACAATCTTTCGATGCAAAAAGAGTTTAAGAATGCATACCAATGGGCGATACTTCAATGCATAGAACATTTCAAGGTAACGGCGGGCCTCAAGATGGTCAAGGTTCGAGACATGCTTCCAGAATCCATACACACCAGTCAGTGTCAGGAGCCTCTGTGAATAGATTTGCCAAGTGTATCTGCAAAACACACACAATATAAGTCAGCACCTAAACTTGAGAATATACTAGTATAAGAACAAGACATGATGAGTTTTTTTTTACTTCTCCTCAATCCTCTGAAGCCCTCCTTTTGAGATTTCATCCCAGTGAGATGGATCCTCCTTACACTTGGTGAAGAAATCAGCAAGAGTATCAGCAGCTTGATTACCATGGTAAGGGTCAATGTGGAAACCCGATTTACCGTGCACAATGATCTCAGCTGGACCACCTTTGCAAGTGGCGAAAGTCGGTAATCCACAGGTCATGGCCTCCACAACAGTCAACCCAAAGGCTTCATACAATGCAGGTTGCACAAATGCACCCTTGGTGTCACAGATGTACCTGTACAGCTCACCGTTCCTAACCCGGTTCATCTGGGAGGAGATCCACCTGAACTGACCGTTCAGTTTGTATTCCTCAATGAGATCATACATTTTCTTCATCTCTGCTTTCTCTTCATTGTCCTTTGATTCTTTCCTCCTGTCTCCTCCCACAACAACCAAGTTAGCCAGCTCACGCAGGCGGGTGTTCTTCCCGTACCACTCAACAAGACCTGACAAGTTCTTGACACGGTCGAGCCTAGCCATCGTGAAGAGGATCGGCTTCTTCTTGTCCTTGAGAACACATCTGTTTCCAAAGAAATATTAGAACTACAATCCAAACGTGAAATGAACATAAAGTCATTAAAAAGCTTACAGGTGCTCTTCATTCTCAACATCGCTGTAGAGGAGCTCCTCGATCTCAGAGTGGAATTTAGTCAATCTACGCTTCTCCTCTGTGTAAGGGAAGTAGATGCTCATATCAGCACCAGGGGAGACAATGTTGAACTTGGGATCAAACACATCGATCCCGTGAACAACTCGGTACAATCCGGGAAGAGTAAAGGCCGTGTGGCTTTCATACTGCCCAACAGTGTCCTTGCTGCAAAACGTGTAAAGAAGACTTTTCTTATACTGAAACCACAAACTATTTATTATTTTTGTTTAATTCTTCATTCTCTTTACCTTCCAGCAATTTCTTGGAAAGTACTGGTGATGATGAAATCAGTGTGGTTCATTGCGAAAATATCCGCAGTGAACTGGCATGAGAAATGGTACTTCTCGTCAAGCTTCTTCCAGTAGATATCGGAATCCGGGTACTTTGTCTTCTCCAGA